CAACTTTGCTCTCTGTTTAGTGGGAATGTAAGCTGATGCAACCATTATGGAAAAGTGTACAGAGGTTCTTCAAAAAAATTACAATCTGCAATCTCACTTCTGAGTATATGTCCAAAAGAAATGAAATCAGTATCTCAAGGAGACATCTACTTCCAAGTTCGTTGCAGCCATATTCATTCACATGCATTTTAAATTTGCCACCTACATATTTTTTTTTGCCTTGTTCAGAGTTGCAATTAACCAGAGGGCAGATCTTCTATTCATTTGTGGTAATATACTACAGTACGTATGGGGACTCCATAAATATGGGTGAATTAATATAGGCAATGCATATCATTGCTGTTATATCCCTGAAGGCTGCACACATCTGGCAGTGCACACATCCCATCTGGAACCTGTCATGCTAGCCACCCTCAACCGGCACCCACAATGTATGCAGACCAAGCTAGCTCCTCTGAAGATCAGGCAGAGACATTTCTGGTGCAGTCTTATTTCTGACCATCCCCAATGGTTCTCCTACATTCTAGTTCTTTGATTGCAGTTCCCTAAATAGATCAAATACTTAGTCTTTCATACCTTTGCACATGCTGTTCCCACTGCCTGGAATGACCTCTCTTTTCTCATCCTCCATGTCCAACTCCTACTCATCCTTAAAGATTAACTACATCACTTTCTTGGCAAAGGCCTTTGCCTATCTCCACTCTCCTAAGGCTGACTTATTTGTTCTCCCCCACCACCCCCTATGTTTTCCAAGATGTTTGTTTGCATCTTTGTCCTCTCAACTGGATTGCAAATCCTCTGAGGACAAAATCCTGGGCTGATCACTACCCTCCACTCCTCCACGCGCTGGGCCACTGTGAGATTTTTGTTTTTAATGAATGCCATCTTACATAGGTAACTCTAATTCCTGTTTGCACCTCTGTAACCAAGTATATATTTCCTGGCTCCCGGGAGGAATGCCCTTTTCTGAATCATCTCAGTGTCTACACTTTTTTCTGGAGCTCTCCCTCACTCTGGACTGAAAAAAAAGCACTGCTGACCTCTGCCTGGCCTTGGAGTTAGCTTCCTTTCTCCCCTCTCCCCAAGGCAATCGTGTCCTTCAATCATCAAGAATCAATTTCCAACCAAGGATAGGGAAGACAGCTTGGGGGCTGCGTGGGAGGAGCTAAGACTGGGATAGGAGTCAGAGCTGGAAGTTGGACCACACCCACTTGAAAATGCTAGAGTTATCAAAGGTCCCAGCACAATGGTCCCACAAGAGGGTAGCCCTCAGGCAAATCTTCTCCCTCAGGCCATCACAAGTAGAAGAGTCCTTCATCTCCCTCTCTGCAAGTGATGCCCTTCAGCAGCATGGGCTCCAGAATCTGTTCAGGAGGCAGACTTTGTTGGTTTAGTTACGCTACAAGGCTTCTGCCCCTGCCCTGGCTGTTATAGCTTACAGATTCCTGGTACCAATCTGATTGAACAATGCAATTAAAATGCAATAAAAGGAAAAGTAGGCCGGATGTGCCCCAGGGAAAAGAGTCAGGAATCTGAGTCCACAGGCCCCTCTTGAGCCCAGGCTTTTCACATCCTGTCTAAAGCCCTTAGCTACTGAACTTGGAGCTCTAGGGTTGGGTTTGAGGCCCTTAAAGGTTATCTACCACACAAGCTTGTTCACACTGATGATAAAGTGTCTCAGCTCACACTCAGGTCCAGAGGGGACAGAATGACCCATGCTGCCCAGTCTCCAGGACTTAGGACTTGTCATCATTCAGGGCTTTTGACACTAACAGGTGGGAGGAAGCTTGTTTGAAAACACTAAGATTCGTGGTCCTGAAAGAGCAGTCTCTTGGGGCATCAAGATTGTTTGGTCTTTTTTTTTTTTAAATACTAATTTATGGAAACATAATTGACATACCATACAACTTACTATATAAAGTTTGGTTGTTGTTGTTTATTCAGAATTGTGCAATCATCACCATTTTAGAAATATTTTCACTACTCAAAAAGAAACCCAATGCCCTTAATCTATGCTCTTCAATCTCCCCATTCCTCCTAGCTCACTCTAGGCAATCAGTAATCTACTTTCTGCCTCTATATATTTGCCTATTCTGGACATTTCATAGAAATGGACTCATGTGATATATATCCTCTTGTGACTGGCTTATTTAGCATAGTGTTTTTGAGATTGACCCATGTAACAGCATGTATCAGGACACCCTTTCATTTTATAGCCTAATAATATTCCATCATACATATCTACCTCATTAAATATTGTATATATTTGAAGTGTACAATATGATGTCTTGATATATAACATTTGGTTTTTCCATACATCAGTTGATGGACACATGGGTCCTTTCCATCCTTTGTCTATTGGGAATAGTGCTGCTAGGAACATTTATGTTCAGGAGTTTGTATGAATGGATGTTTTCAACTTTCTCAGATTAAAAAACTCACTTGTTCTTTCATCTCATTGATAACATCAATATCCATACTGATGAAGAGCCTAAAAGCATGTATGCATTGACTCTAGAAAAATCGTGGAGGATAAGAAGCTGGCTGCAGAAAGAGAGGCACAGAGATGTTAATTGTTCTACCTCTGGTCAGAGCCACTAACTACGTGAGGTCATGGAGGAGGGAGTTACATCTGGCACTCATGATAATCTGCCACCACAATGTTTATAACTTTAGGGAAAAAAAAAAGATGCCAGGGAACTTTTGTTTAAAATAAGTAGAATTTTAAAATGCCAACATGTATTCACACACCACCACTTTTAACTTGATCAGGTTCTTGCTTATTCACTCTCTGCCTTGTGTCTTCTAATTCTCCAGTGAAGACCATGGCTTCCCTTTTGGTTGAATTAAGTCCTCCCTTCCCCCCAAATTCACCTTGTCCTTACGGAAGGGGACTGATGACTTTGTAGGGAGTTTTAGAGTTTTTTCAAGGACTTCTCTTATGTTGCAGCTGCAGCTCACAGAGTGTGTATGGGAAACATGTATCTGTCCAGTGCTGTGGTACCATACTGTCTGGGCACTCTGGTCTGCTCACTATCTGTCACCAAGTATGTGTGTGGCTAAGATGCTGAGAGGCAGAGGTTGCTCCGGGCACCTAGTAAGTCGAACCATATGAAATTGCCAACATTAATCAGTTTCTGGACTATAAGAGTGGTGATTTCATATGGCTCATGTGATTTAACCTGCCAGTCTGAAGTGCCCTCTTCCTTTCCTTCTGGTGTTCCTCTCAGTGGCACAGATCCTGTGCTCTATGAAACCTTTCTGTCCATCCAGCCCAGCAGGTTTTCTCACCCAATCTTCTAGCATGGCCATTCTCCAGATGCTCAATCTGGTGCCCAGAGACATGAGTGGAGAAAGGGGAGAGTACTGAGCTGGGAGTCAGGACGCACAAGCTCAGGCCCTGGCTTCTCACTCTCTGCCTTCTTCCTCACCCAGCTCCTGGCCCCCATCCTGCTCCCTCCAATCGCAAGCCCCTGTAAGTACAGAAGTGCTCCACTACGCTTGACTTCAAATCTGTTCCATTACCTTGTACATACAAAGGGCGGATCTTTTGAGTCCTGACTGGAAGATACAGCCTCATCTGCCACTGCTTCTGCTCCAGCCTCACCTAGCTGTTAGCAGTGCCTTGCATGCACCTGTGCACTCACACCAGGACACCCTGTCACCTGCTCCTCCTCTACTTGGAAGATTTAGTGCACCTCTTTCTCTCAGCTACCTCTGACTATCTTTTAAGACTCTCATCTTTGGGTCTCTGGGCTGTCATTGTGCAATCATCACCATTTTAGAAATATTTTAGAAATATTTAGAAATAACCCTTTCTCTCTGTTCCCATTTCCTTGTGCTTCTGTGTTTTCTGGCACCATTATCTGCATTTTAATTGCCTCCTTGCATATCTGTCCCTGTCTTCCTTTCTCAGCAGTTGGCTTGCAACAATATCATCAGATACATTCTTTAACCTATGATGACAGGATAGAAGAGTCAGTAAACTCTTGTGTTAATAGAACTAAGTAGTGTGCTGTGACTCAGTTTCCTCATTTTGTAGAAATGGTCCAGAAATTTTGGTTTTACCCCGTGGCCTTCTCTAAGCCCTCATTTTCTTCCTGAGAAGCCAGAGGGAGTTGGTTTTGAAGGCTCTTTGAATTCCTAGAGGAATGCCTGAGAACCTGGGATACAGAGCCTTTCCCTTTCAGAACCTCACACAAGGATCTCTGCGACGCAGGGAAATAGATGGGAGATGATTGCCTAAATGGAAGCTTCCAAGAAATTTGGAGGATGATTTTGTTCTGTTCCTCTTATAAATTTCATTGTAATTCAGTTAGTGTTTGCGGGGCAACTAGGAAGCACGTGCCAGTGTTAGGCACAGCGTCGTGATAAAAAGTTGTATACCTCGTCTTCTGGATTTCCTGTGACTGCTACATTTTAAGTTAGTCTACAAGGGCTCGTCCAACTGCTGCCCCTCTGGCCGTTCACTCCCGCCAGAATCAGCGAACACGTTGGGAGAGACTGGCCCATGTCCCATCCACAAATTTGTAGCCACTCTCCTACTGGGTCTGTGTCCACCACTGAGCTTGCGAGGTTGGCCAAACAGGACCTCGGCCCGGGCGCCCTCTGGCGGCGGCGCACGGAAGCTCCGGCCCGGCAGGGAGCTGGCAAGGGGAAGGAGGAGGGAGGAGGGAGGAGGAGGCGCGGGCTGGGGAGGAGAGGAAAAAGTTGCGCTGGGAAGTTTGGAAAGTTGGGAAGTGGCTGCTGCGGGCTTCGCCTCCCTCCGCGCGTGTGTGAGGGAGCGAGCGCGGCAGCGACAGGGGAGCTAGCGAGCGCCTGCCATGCCCATCAGACCCCGCCTCGCCGCGCACGGGCGCAGAGCTCGCCCCGACTCCCTGCGGCCCGGCCCGGCTCGGCCCGGCGCTGCCCCGGCCCCCCGCCCCCCGCGCCGGGTCCTCCCCTCCCCCCGCCCGGCGGCCCCAGCCCCCCGCCCGGCCCGTCTCCGCGCCGCTCTCCCGCCCTCCTCTCTCCCTCCCTCCCGGCCGCGGAGCAGCATGGCGGAGCCCGGGCAGCGGCCGCGCGGCCGCCCGCCGCCCCTCTGAGCCGGGCTTGGGGCAGCGGGCGCCCCAGACCCGACCCCCGCCCTGCCGCGCCCTCCGCCGCACTTGTCCCACTGCGCGCCCCCTGGAGCGCCGCGCACCCCTGGGACCTTTGCGTTTTCCGGGTGCCCAGCGTAACCCGAGAGCCTTGCGCACCCCGGGATTCGGTACTGCCCCAGGAACCCTGCGTGCCCCTGGACCCCTACGCAGCTCGGGGACCCCCGCGCGCCCCAAGACCCTGCGCGCCCTCAGAACCCCCGGGCTCGGCCAACAGGGCTGCGCGCCCTAGTGAGGGGGGCCCCGCCCCAGAGGGTCCCCCTCTTCCAACAGTCGGAGCCCCGCCCCAGAGGGACCCCCAGGTCTGATAGGGACATCCAGCCACGCCCCAGAGGGCTTCCAGCATCCCGCGTCTGGAGCCCCGCGCTCCAGAGGCTCCTCAGTGCCCAGCTGGGGGCTCCCGCCCTGCTCAGGGGGTGCTGCCTAGGAGGGTTCCCCGCGGGCCCCGGCAGGATGCACGCCGCCCTAGCGGGTCCGCTGCTCGCCGCCCTCCTCGCCACCGTTCGCGCCCGCCCGCAGCCCCCGGACGGAGGACAGTGCCGGCCCCCAGGATCGGTGAGCGAGCGCCTGCCCCGCCACTCTCCCGCCCGCCCGGGCACTCCAGCCTTTGGGGCGACTGTTTGAGTCCTGCCTTCCGCACCCATCTCAGCCCGCTCGCTCTACCTCTGCCCGCTGGGCGCAGTCTTGGGCGCCCTTCCTGGCTTTTGCCTGTCCTGGCTCTAGCTCGGAACCCAGCCGGAGCTGAGATGGGGCGCTCCCTCTCTCCCATTCCTTCTCTACTCCCTGACACTCTCGGGCTCTCCTCTAGACTTTAGGTCCTGTTTGGACGTTTCCTCTCCGTGTGCCGCCCCCCCGGACTCTCTTTTTTTCTGACTTTTATTCTGGCCTTATCCTTCCTTATTCTTGCTGCCCATTTCTGACTGTCTTCTCAGATTCCTTCCAAACCCCTTCGCGCTTACATTCACACACTCTGTGCCTCTTCCCCGGCTTCCCTCCCTCTCCCTGCCCTCCTATTCTAACCTAAGGCAAACTTTCTCCTGGTACTGGATCCTACTTCTCTCTTCCTCTGCAGTCCAGGCCCCAGCACCTACTGTCCCAAGTGCCTCAGTTTGGCGAAAAGGGGGAAGAGTCCAGAGGAGAGGAAAAGTAAATGCCAGGACACGCTGGCCTAATATTTCTTTGGGGGGTGGAAAAAGTTACTGGTTCTCCTAACTTTCTTTCCAAAATGAAAAATCTCTTGATTTTCTTTAAGTGTTAATTAATTCATTGGCAGTAACCCTGAATTGGAGGCCAGGAGATCAAGAAATTGTGTTGTATGGTCTTCCTTCACTGCCCTGTTAGCAGGGAATTCATTGACCTTGGGCAAGGTGCACCTCCAACAGACTGACTTGTACAGAAACAGGGAGCACATTAGCTGGGGCACTCCGTCTATTTCCAGTAAGCTGGGATTTACAATTTTTGCTTATTAGTAAAGTAAGGTTCTATTCCTCTACCTGCCCAACACATACTTTTCATTTGTGCCAGATCATTCAGCACTTCAGGGATTTTTTCTGGATGGAAGAATGGCGTTGCCTGAGAGAAAATGATAGTCCCCTTTACATTCCCATGCCCACTGACCCTAATCTGAATCTGGAGAACTGGCCCTGGTCTGTGTGCCCCTGCACACACACACAACCCTAATGGGAGCTTAGGTCATAGAAGATGACAGAATTGGGGATAAAGACCAGGTATACATTTTTGATGCAGGAGCCTGGAAAGCATCCAGAATGTGTACATTTCTTGGGATTAATTCTATGGAATCCTCTCTTCTCAAACCAGAAATTGAGACTTGACTTGGCTTTGCGAGGTTTTAAAGCACTTTCTCATCTATGGTCTCAGCTATTGGAGCAAAGTAGCTAACACCCCAGACCTGCCCTCCAAGAAGAAAACTGTATCCACCCTGGTGAATGGGAAGTAGCTGTTGAAATAGGTGTGCTATTTTTAATAGGTGTTCTGCTTTCAAAGTGCTCTTGGCATATGTCTTCTAATGGTTGGATTTAAAAGTTATATGACTTCCTCCCTTCTTGCCAGAGCAGGACTCTTGGTCCCCCTCTCCCCACCTTCCACATGAAACACCAGGGAAGGTTTGCCTTGGCCCAGTATGAATGTTCTCAGGTGGTGTGGCAGTGCTTGGCTCTCACAGTGAAAGCTGGTCATAATGAGAGCTTCCCTTCATTGCCCACTTCCTCTGTGCCAGGCACTGCTCAGAGGACGTCATTACATATATTGTATCTTTCAATCCTCCCAACAGCCCCTGCTCTCACTCCCATTTTACAGATGAGGAACTGAGTCTGTGGGAAGAGAAATGATTCGCTCCAGATCATGCATCTAAGATAGGGCAAAGCCGGGATTCCAGTATGGGTCTTTCCGCTTCCAAAGCTCTTGCTCTTTGCCACAGCCCAAGTGAGTCTTTGCCTTCTGTCCCACCTCGCCTCCCACTCCTCTGTGCCAAGCCTGGCTCTCCTCTGCTGCCTTCAGCCTCACTGCCTCTCCTCTCCTCTCCTGCAGCAGAGGGACCTGAATTCTTTCCTGTGGACTATTCGGCGTCACCCCCCAGCCTACCTGTTTGGCACCATCCATGTCCCCTACACCCGCGTTTGGGATTTCATCCCTGACAACTCCAAGGCGGCCTTCCAGGCCAGTGCCCGCGTCTACTTCGAGCTGGACCTGACAGACCCCTATACTATCTCTGCACTGGCCAGCTGCCAGCTGTTGCCGCACGGAGAGAACCTGCAGGATGTGCTGCCCCGAGAGCTCTACTGGCGGCTGAAGCGCCACCTGGACTATGTGAAGCTGATGATGCCATCATGGATGACTCCTGCTCAGCGGGGCAAGGGGCTCTACGCGGACTACCTGTTCAATGCCATTGCAGGCAACTGGGAGCGCAAGAGGCCTGTGTGGGTGATGCTCATGGTGAACTCTCTCACGGAGACGGACGTGCGCTCTCGTGGTGTGCCCGTGCTGGACCTCTACCTGGCCCAGCAGGCCGAGAAGATGAAGAAGAGCACAGGGGCTGTGGAGCGGGTGGAGGAGCAGTGCCATCCACTCAATGGGCTCAACTTCTCCCAGGTAGGCACGCTCACTAGCTTGGAGCTGGCAGCCAGAGCCAGGTCTTTCCCCTAAGGAAGAGCTTCTTTCTGGCTCTGGGGCTGCTTTGGTGGGATGAGGAAAGGGTGCATGCCAGAGTTTGGGGTAAGAGAGTGTTTGCTTGTATTTCAGGGTTACCTGTTGGGGATATCCACTTCGTACTTGCTGTGCTTGCCTGAGCAGAAAGAATTTCCCTGGGAGCATCAGAGTGATGGAAAACAAAAAGAGGGGGTTGCCAGTTTGTGTCAGGCTTTGCCAAAGCCATGGTGTCTGGAGAGCAAGAGGCTATTGTGAGGCTCTTGTGTGGACAAATACCTGGAGCGGTGGTGTTGTACAGAGGAGGACATGGTGCCTGGGCTGGGCTGGCAGGGGACGTGTCCTGGACCTGCCCTTTACAAGCACTGGTTTGCTGTTTCAGATTAAGCACTACAGAATTTCCTGGGCCTTTACTAAACTCTGAGACTGCTTCCTTAAGACTGGGAGAAAGTCAGCAAAGAGACTTTGGGGGTTAATAATTTCAGAGACATGTGTTTGCTTAAAGGTTGACAGTTCTGATTTCTGAACCTCATGAGTGGGGACAGAGAAAAGGGAGGGGCTTAACAGGTTTAAAGTCTCTGACTGCCAGAGACCTGAGCCAGCAAAATGTCATTAAAGGCCTTCTCTATGGGCAGAGGTCACTCGCAACTCACTGGCCCCAAACTCAACTCTGAGGCCCTGGGAACAATGAGTTCACATCTGTGCCCTGAGAAAGGGGCTGTCGTTCCCAGGATGGGGACTCCTCGGCTGGTGGCTCCTGCAAGGAGGCCTCAAGAGGGGGTTCAGGCCAAAGTCCCCAGAGCGGTGAGGCCCTGAAAGGTGCATGCTCCGCATTAAGGAGACAGCACCATAAGATGATGGGACCAGGAACGATCTACCACTGGGATCAGACCTGCCCGCTGATCCTCAGATGTTGCAAGCTCTTCACCAGGGAAACCATGGCAGAAACCGATCCCCCTTTCCGAGATCTCTGGCCTTTGTTTTTCCAGGGGAAATGCAATATTGTCCCCAGGGAGGTAAGAAGCCAGATTGATTTGCCGGCCAAATGAAAGGCGGGTTTGTCGGTTCTCCTGCTGGTTCTCCCATAATTGTGGAGTCCTTACCCAGAGGGGCCCGGTGGCAGGAATATTGGGGCAGTTAGTCACGCCCCGCAGGGTTCTGACTACGCCTGACTCCTTCTCCACGGGGGAAAATCCTGCGTATTCTCTGGCCCAGTGTTGATTCCTCTGAACATAGCGGCTCTCTCCCTCTGAAGTGACTTTTCCCTTGCCAGCCTCGGGAGCTGATATTATCTGTGTTGGGGCCCCCCAGCGCTCACCGCCCATCTCATTTTGGAGGCAGATTTGTGGGGGGCCTCTCTGCTCAGAGCCTCATGTCTGGCCTTATATCTTTTTTAGGCTGGGGAGGCGGGGGATCCACCATCATTCTCAACACCCTCTTTGTACCAACCACAGAGGAATCCAGCGAGGGCTGAGGGGAGCCCTCCAGTGCTCTGCTTAAACAGCCCCTGGCTTTAATCTGTCTCTCTTAAAACAACAAAACTATCTTTTCTCTGGGGTCTGGAAATGCTGCTGTACAACCAAATGACGGCTCTGTTAGGTTGAAAACATTTGCTGGGAAGTGTGTAAGGTTATGTTTTAGGAAAAGTTCCTGAGAACCATTCATCGGCCGGCAAGGAGCCCGCTGACAGTCTCCAAAGCCCATGTTTGAAGATCAAACAGACTCCAATTTCTATTTCAAAAACGTACCCATCCCATCTCCAGCCTAGGCCGGCTCTTCAAATTGTTCTGGGGGTCCAGCCTCTCACTAGGGCTGCAGAAAGCAAGTTCCAAACAAAAGAAACCAGGTCTCCTCTTGGCTCCCTAATCTACACACCCTTCACCACCTGCCAGAGTGCCTGACTGGCCAATTTGTTCTGTTATCATTTTGGACCGAGGTGATGAAATCTCTCCTCCAACCCCTTGGGCAGACGTGGGCTAACTGGAAAAGGTGGGATTAAGAACCTGGGCAGATGGGGTCATTAAGGATCCCCAAACTCAAAGTTAGAAATGCAACAGCCTACTCAGTAAAATTGCATGCGCGCATGCACAGTTTGATATGAACATCTGTGATGCATTATTGTACCGAAATATCTGTTAAGTGCATCAGATTTTTATTTTTTCTTTCCTCGAAGCATTACTGTTATTGCAAAATATTTGGTTTTGGGGGGGGCAGTGAGAGAGGAAGGCTAGAAAAAGGCTTAAAAGAGTCACTTTCTGTTAAGGTCTGAGATTTTAGTTTTAATTTTGGTGTTACAAAAAATTTTTATAGACATATTTTTTTTTCTGGGAAGAAGCAGTTTTGCTTCTTAAGCAGAGAAAGAAAGATTTAGTTTGGGGACTTCAGGGCCTGGAGGAACCCCTGAAAAACTGGAAGGCTGGTAACTGATCTTGCCTAGCTTGGAAGGTCAGGTCTGTTGGTAGGTTTTGATCTTTCATTTCAAAATAAACTGAAAGTGCCAGACCTAGCATCACCATGGCTTTGCCATGTGACCTTGGACAAGTCAGTTCCTCTCTCTGGGCCCTGTTTTCTCTGTCTCTGAAATGAGACACCAGGATTAGGTCATCTTTCAAGCCCCTTCCAGCCCTGACATTCCATAGGATGATTCTAATCAATTCCACGTGCCAGGCACCCTGCAGGAAGCTCCACATGCGTTTCCATTTCATTGAATTCCCACAGCAACCCTATAGCTTTCTAAGGTGGGCACCCAGAAAGGTTGATGACTTGCCCAAGGTCACGTGGCTAATAAGGAGCAGAGCCCGTCTGCCTGCCTCTATATGAAGGATGTGCTCTTCTTGACATTGGTACTGTTTCTTTAGACTTCTGTCTAGGTATCTGTTATTCTGCTGTATACTTCCTTTAGGGCTTAAAATTTTATTTCTTGGTGATTTTGTACTTGTAGAGACATTATTTCCTTTGGTTGTGAGGCTGGAGAGGGGATGGTGAAGGCTGATCCTCTGAAGAGTGTGGCTTCCTCGTGTGTTGTAGGCAGCTCAGCCTGGTGGGAGACTTGTATATATAAGCTTGGGCGAGACTTGGTATCCCCATCTAATCTATCCAATGGGATGGTAGCTGCCAGTCTTTTAGAGTGGAGCTGGTTTTATGAGTATGTGAGAAGACACTCCCTGTAGAAGGTTGTTGAAAAAGTAAATGACTTCCTGCATGGTGGTTCTGAGCTTGGCAAAGAGTAACTAGCTCCGGGGAAGAGGAAGGCTACATGGGAAGCCACCATGTATTTCTTCCAGCAGCTGTATCCACTGTCCAACCTTTGCTGAGCAAACTGAAACTGGAATATTGAGAGGTAGTGATGAGGCCCTGCCTTTGGGGGCCTGGGATACCTGAGCCTTGAGCCCAGATCTTATGACAATCTTGAGACCTGTAGATTCCTATCAGTTCTGCCTGCTGCCTCAAGGGACTGATGCTGGCTGTCACTACTCCCTCTGGGAATCTCCAGTCCTCCCCGACCATACCCCTGTAAGTGGGGGCACTGGATGAGAAGACCTTTTAAGTTATATGGTGCTCCAAGATATAATAAGAAAACAAGGATACTGCCATGCTGTGCCTTAGCCAGTCTGCTGGTGCCACCCATCCAGTGTGTGTAGAGCCTGAGCTCTGGGACAGGCCTGCCAAACATGTCCAAAATGTTTGTAAAACTAGAGCTAGAAATCACAAAATTACCTGCTGAACTTTGTCTCTGTGCTGGGTGCTACATTAGATCTCACATGTATGTGATGTCTAATCCTCATGGCAATGCTGCAGGGTCAATTGTCATATCTGTTTTAAAGACAATAAATTAAAACTTGAAAAGGTTGGGTCATTTGGCTGTGATTACATAGACAGGCTAGGTAGACTCCAGGGTCAGATTCAGGTGTGTCCATTGCTAAAGCCTGTGCTTTCCAAGCATCTCAGAGATGAATTGATTATTGTTTTTAATAGTCAAGCAGCTTTATCTGGTGGATTTGTATGTATATGTGGTGTGTGTGTGTGTGTGTGTGTGTGTTTGTGTGTAAGTGTATGGGGGGGGGAGATTTTCATTTCTTGCTAAAAAAAGCAAAATAGAGAAAGAGAAATAATTGAAAAGTGCTGAAACTGATTTTCTCCCTGGTTTATAAATTGGATCTGAAGGTAATTCTAAAATAGGAGTTTCCAAAGACATTCTGGGCACCAGCTGCCTCCTTGGAATGCATCTCCAGCTTTCCAAGGGACCACTGCGAAGGCTGCCGCCCTAATACAAGCTAAGACTGAACAGTTGAATAAAGAAAGATCTCCTCGGTTTATAGTCAAGGTTCCCATATCTACACCCTGGGAGGCCAGCAGGTATTAGTAAATATTTGCAGAATGAAGGAATTAACACCAAATGGTCAGAACCCATGATATGACCTTCCCTAATTCCCTTTTACCATCCAGCACTGCTGAATGAATGAATGTGTGAAGAAAGAAGCATAGGGCACAGTGAGGAGCACCTTTCTTGGACTTCAATCACTCCGTGCCTTACATAAAGGACACAAAATACCAAAGTCATCCAATGGGTTGTCTTAGCCTATCGGAGATACTATAAGAAAATCCCTTACACTGGGTGATTTATGAACAGTGTTAATTTATTGCTCACAGTTCTGGAGGCTGAGAAGTCCAAGACCAAGGTGCCAGCAGATTCAGTGTCTATAGAGGCCTGTTCTTCATAGATGGGTCTCCTCTGTGCCTTCACGTGGCAGAAGGGGAAAAGGGAGTAACAAGCCTCTTTATTAGGGCATTAGTCAAGATTCAAATAGATACTTATCTTTACCCAATTACTACCTTGCCTATGACTTTGGGATAGACCTTTCCCTCTGTAGGTCTAAGTTGTCCCCTTGTCCCATGAGAGGTCGGCTAGGTTATTTCCAGTGCCCACCCAATTCTGCCATCTGTGG